GGGCAAAGTGCAAAGTGCAAAGTGCATCTTCAGCACGATGCCTAGGATCACTTGTGTTAACATATGTCTACAACCTATGATTGTATCACTGTGCATCGACCCTAGGGCAGGCCCGAGGGCGGGATCGGGAGGGAAGTCGCCAGGCCAGGAGGTGTGGGCAGTCGTTGTGAGCCCCCCCAACTGCTTTGACAACAATGTTTCTTACTGTACCGGTATTGGCAGGTTACCAGCAGTCTTACTGCAACTGTCATGGCCATCCTCCACATCATCATCATGTTGTTGTCATTGTCTGCCCTATGCGTTCAGGAGATCTCCTGGGTCTTGCTGTGGACCTGGACGTGGGCGAGATGCGCTTGTGTAGCTACCGCCAAGCGGCCGCCTCAGCATGATGATAGGCCTTGACATGGCCCGATGGTTTCCTTAGTTCATCAACCAGCCTTGGCAGGCCTGATTTGACTCTCTTCTCCGAGACTAGTTCTGCCGTCGTTCGTTGTGGAAGAGCCTTTGCCAGAGATGAAATTTCTCGTCGAAATGCACCTCACAAAGCAGATGGCCTCGGCCAGAAGCAGCCGTCATGCACACAGCGAGCGCGTGCCCTATTTCTTAGCTTGAAGGGTATTATGGCATGGCTACCCGTCCCTCGCCCTCGATTTTCCGTCCCGATCTCCCACAGCCCCAACCGATCTTACTGAACAGTGTTTGGCGGCAAAGCATGCCCTTTCCCATGCACGTCGCCTGGTAAGGTGGACATATCTACTGACATAGCTGTGGGCAGCTTAATCCGGATCAAGAAAGTCAGCGTCAAAGAGGCAAAACGTGTTGCAGAAGCTAGCGGTTGTGGCTGGGCCAGCAACATGGAAGAGTGCTTGGGCCAAGAAGGACAGCCTCCGAGTAGCGGTGCAGGATAGGAGCTAAGTTCCACTGTGATACATGCATATAGCAGATAACGAGGTGTGCTGTACTTTTGCTTACTATATACGGCTTTGTGCCACACCATGCCATACCACACCATGCTATGCTATACTATGCCAAACTTGCTGCGCCGTACTGCTCTGTAAGGAATGCAATGGAATGAGCGTTTACAGTGCTGTAATGAAAAATGAAAAATATGGTAAAGCATAGTCGATCGTATAGCATGGCATAGTACAGTTTAAGTATAGTAGATATAATCTGATATAGTATAGTATGGTATAGTATAGTGTAGTAGAATATGGTGTAGTACAGTATAGACTGGTATAGATGGGTTTAGAATAGACTAGACAGAGTAGATGGTACATCATGCTGTAGAATAGACGAGCACAGATGAGTGCACAATAGTATAGAGCATTTTAGAATACTAAATAATGGAATATATAGGTTAGAACAGTATTGAATGGTATTGGAAAACTGGTATGGGGAAGTATGGATTGAAAACACAACATGATAGATTGATATACGTGTAGCTAGTACCAGGGGTAGAAAAAGAATTAGTACGAGTATCAGGTTAGTTAGTCAGCTAGTACAGTAAAAGTATACTGTTAGCAGAACCGGTTAAGGCAGAGTGCAGCACGGTGCGGTGCAGTACAGTATATAAATATGTGGTATCTAGTATCTGGTATCTAGTGGATGTTTTGCAACATAACTTGTAACATAGTATATCATAGCAGGCTTTAGTTTGGTATAGTATAGTGTAGTATAGTATAACATAGTATAGCAAAGTGCAGGAAAGCATGGCATATCAAAGTATAGTGAACATGGCATAATGCAGTGCCGTACCTTGTAGTATCGTATAGCATCGTGACTTAATCGTACACGAGGCGGTGTTTGAAGTATCCTTGCTAAAGGAAGAGTGAATGGACATGGACATTTCGTGACCGCGAGGACAATATGTGACGAAAGATAGCGACGGCTTTCAGCTGCAGATGCGTGGTACTTGGTCACACTTTCCACCTGGAACCCTGGAACCTTTGAACTAGTCATGAAACTTGTAGCTGGGAACGGCTTGCATGCGGCGTGATTTGCTGGATTGCAGGCTGCTGAGGAGAAGTAGCTGTACTGAAAGTGTTACGACTAGGTAGGAGTGCTGTTCATAGCAGCCAAGACCAGAGGAGACGTCATGCTTGTAGGAGACCTTGCAGTTTGCTGTGACCTCTGGTGCTTGCTCCAGGGAAGTAAGAAGAAAAGGAGCAGTCGAGTTTTGGAGCTGGTACCAGCCTCACGAGCACCAGGGAGCATGTCATACAATCATCTCCATACCGAACAAGGCATTCTCGCTGCTCTTCCTGTTGCTTTAACGTCCCTAGTTCTCACTGGGAAGCAAGCTTTGCAGTTGCACTGGGCGATGCAAATGCTCACGCAGTGTAGCGATCGAAGGCCAGATGGTCAACAGTGGTGGTTTCCGCCGGCGTTGCTTCACCTGAACCTGTCTCCTACCGATCCTACTGGTACAGAGGAGGGCGCGGGAAGCAGGTGGCGGCTGTCTGGGGTTGTCACGGCTAGTTTCAAGCCAGCAGGCTTCTAAGGCAGGCGAAATCGAAGGCGTGGGATTTCTCAGTCGATCTTTTCTTATCCCTTGTCGGTTGTTTGTTCTGTACGCTTCGCATAGGGATGGGCATGGTGACATGCAGGTGAGGTGCAATGCTTCTGCTTGCTTGGTAGTGAGCCTTGCAATGAAGACTTTCCCACTTAGACCTTTTGTCACTTCTGCGGCTTGTATTCAGAAAGAAGGCTTAGACAACCTGAGGATGCGATTCCAGCCCCTCCGCTGAAGATATGAACATGCCCCCTGGAAGAAGCGACCATCAATCAACGCAGCGCATAATCCAATAATAGATAGGACTCAGCCCTTACAACCCTCATTCGTGAGAAGGCGAAGTGCTAAAGGCAATCGGGCAAGGAGATGCCTGGAGCTGCCAGGCCGAACCAGGCCCTAAACTTTGCCTATAACCACCGTAGATCCAATCAGTCTGGCGAGGATGTTGACTCTGGGAAGATCGTGTTCGACCCGAAGGGGCGCAAACTGCACCTGGTCCCCGGCATACTTCATGGATAAATCAAGTTTCCCGAACTAGGTGGCGATGCTACGGTTGGGACGCATGCTTTTTGATGGATTGGGCGAGTTTGACCAGGCAAGAAGTCTTGTTCGGGCTTGGGAGTTGGTTTCTACAGGGTTGTCTTCGACATTCCATTCCGCTAGCCTGGCAAGGCTTGGCATCAGTGCGAAATACAGACGCTCCGTGCCAAAAGCTAGAGTTTCCTCTTTCGTGAATCATATGTTGTCTGGCAAACTTCTGAGGCCAAAAATACACGGGATCCATTCAAAACGCCGAGGCACCCAGCGGTCTCCACGCTTGGCCCGTTTCGGCTGTATCTGGGGCGCATGAACTGGCTACACATGCCGCCAGGAGATTCCAGTTCAGCTTTCAGGGCTACATTTAAAGTAAAACAGAGAACGTTCATCTTGGTGTGGCGAGCTGCTGGAGTACGGATGAAAGCTGGTTGCCGGTGCAGATCAGTGGAGCGCTTCGACATGATTACCCTGCTGTTCCAGGTACACTAGAGTGACACGGGGCTACTCTCTCTAATGCTTGGAGGGGCTCTGTGGGGACGGACGCGCGATGCTTCCAGGAGACGACTATGAAGAATGGGCGGCAGGAGTTGTCGAGTGGGCCCCGCAGGCCTGCACGCCACAATTCCAATGTCGTTTTGCGGGTGATGCAGCTTAAGGCCTGCCCCTTAACCGGGAGCTGTTAGTCACTTCGTGCAGCTGCCACCTCCTCCACCTGAACCCCTTCTCGCATTCATCATGCTCCCTGCTGCCCTCACGCATGATGGTGCTGGTGGGGGCACTGACAGTACTGGTGATGCCTGGTGGTGGAGATGGAATGGTGATAGTGCTGGCTGACCATCAAGGCCTCTATGCCTGTTTTGCGTCGACTTGTCTTGTGACCGTTGCCATGAGATTATTGACTTCATAATTGGTTCGTGAAGGAGTGCTGTGCGGAGCCGGGTCGGCCGGATTCACGCGATGCCTACGTGTATGGATTTCTTTAGATCTTGCTGTGTCTTCCACTCTGAATTTAGCCAGATCTTGCTTGTCAGTTGTTGTGAGGACTGGCGGGCTGGTCGTGAGCTTCAGGGGAGGCCTTCCTTGCTTGGACTGCGTGGCATTCGCCCGGTGGAGATTGAAGAGGATGCTTCAATTGGGCTTTGGTTGACTGCTGGGGCAAAGGATGCTGCTCGGAGCAGCGGGAAGTTTTATCATGAAGTTCAGCTGTTTACTGACACCGGTTGTCCTCAATTCGGTTGGCTGTCAACCGGCTTTGAAGAAGGGCCGCACGACGGGAATGGTGTTGGGGACGACGAGCATGGCAATGCCTTCGATGGAGATCGCCTGTTAAACTGGAAGGCAGGCCGGAAGCAGAAGGCCGGGGGTCATCCTTCCAGAGCGCTGCACGGTTCGGGTGCTTCTTGCCTGGTATGGCTAGGGTAGTCCCTAAACCCTAATCGGCCCTAAACCCTAAGCGCTGGAAATCATAGCAGTGCGCTGTAAGGGGTGAGGCAACGACCCTGACGAGGTGGAAGTTGAGCGGTGGAAGGTGGGTGACATCCTGGGTTTTGCCATCGACCTGGACGCTGGCGTCATGCGTCTGTCGCACCAAGGTAAATGGCACAGCGGAGCCGCCTGGCCTCGCCTGAGTACTTTACTCAGTTGCAAAGAACGGACTTTGAAGGCCCAAGATGGCAGGTTCGATGCGGTTTCTGTTTTGATCATGGATGGAGGTTGTCGGGTAATGATGGAGTTGATGATGGTGATGGGGGCAGCGGCAGAGGTTCTTGCGAATCAGGACCTAATCATAACAAACACAGTGAGGGACTAGGGGTCGCAGGAGCAAGGCTGCGGGAGGAGCCCTGAGGCCTTACCAGGTGTAGGGTCTGCGGGTATTGCGTTCTGGTGCAGCCCAGCCGAATTTCATGTCTCAGGAGGGCTATGTCATGAAATCTGACGAGATGGGAGGCCGTGAGTGGCAGCCATGGCCCAGAATAGCCCCAGACCCACCCAAACAGTTCGGTCGAGGGTCCGAAAGGGGCCCGAAGACAAGCCGAAGGGTAGTGGGCTTGAGCCCTTGGGTTGTTTGTCTGTCGATATTGCTCAAATTCTTGCAGCCTCATGGGACTGCATGCAGCAACGAGGCAACCATCAAAGTGCAGGGGAAGGGGTAACAGGTTAGTAAAGCTTGGGATTGGCACGTGGCTTAGCCGAATGTCGTAACTATATCATCGAGTTTTGATACCACATGATTGAGTTTGATGGAGATTGCACCAGGAGAACGATGTAGTAAATAATTTCTTCGTGGTCAGTATGCGCACGTCTTATTTCAGCGATCTTGAGGCAATTTGTTGTAAGCCTTCGTGACAAGAAGGCTGCGGTATAATTTGAGCGGTAATCCGCGAAACCATGTAAGCCCGAAACCTGCAGTTCAAACCTCGGAGCCGCAAAAAAGGTATCCAGCCGTGTCTGGGCGTGTCTTTTACCAGATGCACATCGACAAGAAAACCTGGCGCTTCGCACCGCCGCAACCATCTGAAGACTACCAGGCCTGGGGGTAGGAGGAGTTGAGGCTTGTTGACTGGGCCTGGGGCGCCGGCATCGAGTTTGAGGCTCCTTTAGGTAAAATGGGCAAAGCCGTGGTTGATGCAAACAGGGCATAGCATCCATGAAGTGACACAGGATTGACACAGGTATTGCAGCTATCAGTTGGATTTCGGATGGCTTCGTGTGGACTGCACGAGGCTTGGGCGAGTGGCATCTTCGAGTGGTCGCCGCAGAGGGTTGGAGGTGTCAGGGGGATGCCGGGATGTGGGGTCCGATCTGGAACGGTTCGAAGACAAGGCTACGACAGCCCTTTAGGGCAATCTAGGAAGGGAGGTCTAGGACTTGGGTTCCTATTCAAGCAGCGTGCCCCGGGTGCCTTGCAGCCAGTGCTGTGCATGCTAAGCCAAGGGACGGCGAGTTAGGCACCCTAACCCCAAAGCTTGAATTAGCCTCTGATGTCCCCATCAAAGTGCAGGACTCGTTGGCGCCTAAACCTAATTCGAGACTTGAGTTGGCACAACAGGTTTTGATTTCAGGAGCTACCCAGCGAAAATCTGAAGTTCAAAGGTGGCTGCATCGCAGCCTGGACAATTCGGATAGTGTAAAGCTTGATGGTCCATGCTGCCAGGTTGAGTCCAAAGTGAGCATCCCAACGACTCGATGCGCTGCCAAGCCTTCTTGTTTCACCTCCCCGAACCTTGAATGCGACATCGAACCATGGATTCCTGCAACCCGGAAACCGAGCCTTTCGACTCCCTGCTTTCGACTCGCCTTGGGAGTCCTAGTCCTAGTCGCTTGCTCGGGCGTTTGCAACTGGTGCCTGCCATGCTCGAGTCCTCACATGGAAAGACCGCAACCTAGGTGTCAACCCGACCCCGACAGAAACTCGAAGCTGGGCACTCGAAGCCTACGTCTTAACCCTGCAGTTCTCCAGCAGGTGAAGCAAGGGAATGTGTACTGTGCTCAGCAGCGCAGTGGAGGAAGACGTGCACAAGTGCAATCGGAAACCCTGTGTTCTGGGGCACCCTGCTCAATGTTGTCCATGCCTTGATGTGCTGTCGCCATGGGCTCCGCTTATCGTTGCGACACGTGCTGCTGGTGGCAGTCTGCAGTGGAACTGCCGTGCCAGAGAGTCAGAGGTCTGGGTGGCCGGACCTCGTGCAGCGCCGAGCGCGCGGCGCGCGCGACGCGGGAAGAGCCGGCTTCCAGGAGGCGCTGGCTCTTTCCGAGGCTGGCCGCTGGCAGGCGGCGGCCTCAGCCTGGCGAGGCGTTTTGGAGGATCCGTCTTCGCTTCCGGAAGCCCTCCGTCCACATGCGCACTGTGCCCTCGGAGATGCTCTCCAGAAGCTGGGCCGGGACCGCCAAGCAGCCGAGGAGTTTACAGCAGCCACAAGATTGGCACCCAACTTCGCAGCTGCAGCACTACGCCGCGGCACAGCCCTACGGCGGCTTGGGGATTTCCGAGGTGCCGAAGCCGCCTACAGGAGCGTGCTTCGCCGCTCGAGTGGAGCGCGGCAAGCGACTATGGCAGAGCTCTCGCAGGCCTGTTCAGGAGCTGCAACCTCGATGTTGCGGCAGGGCTTGCCATCGACACTCGGCAGAGTTCGTCGACTGTTGATTCCAACATGTTGAACCTTGGCCAGGGCCCACCTTGCAGAGTTTCCAGCAGAACATGGTTGTTGTTGCCCAGCCTCAGGAAAGCGGCACGTTTGCTGGAGGCTCGCTTGGGCTTTGATCATCTCAGTTTGCCTGTGTAGCCTTGTGTGAGCTTCTCCAAAACACTTTGGCCTGCCCGCTGCCATGGCATTCCCTTTCTGGCACCGAGGGCCAGAGCACGACTTGCTAACAGACTTCACCCTTTAAGGGGACCCGATTATGCTTAGGCTTAGGGAGACCCTCAAAGGGGATACTTCTCTTGGCTCTCTGAACAGGGACCTTGTTGAGAGGGTCTATATCCCCAGGGGTCCCCCTGGCCCTAATCCTAACTCCCAGGAGTCCCCTTTAAAGGGCACCAGCTTCGCAGTTTGAAGGGCTCAGAGTCGGGGCGCTGAAGGCCTGGCTGACCTCGGCGGGTGCCAAGGCCAAGAGCTATGCCAGAAGCCAGGCTTGCGTTATCATTCACTACCCTTTTAGATGCCGGTGAAGATGATTGCTGCTTTGCCTTGAAATGCTGTTATCTGCTACATGATAAGCGACTTGAGTCGTGGTAGTATTGCCAGTTGTGTTGTATGGTTCCGGTTTCAGCTTCGAGTAGAGCGAAGGTTTTGTGGCCCATGGCCTACAAGACAAATTTGCACAGCGCTGTACGTGCGGCGTGCCCGCCACCACGGTGTCCCAGAAAGCCCTGAACCCCGTACCTTTTGCACAATACTCAGGTGGGTGCTTTGCCGCCTATCTCCCCCACCCCCGCCCCAGCAAGCTTCTCAAGCGAGAGTATGAAGAGTATGGGTGGCTCTCCGGAAATTCTCCCCAAACTTCCCATCTCGAAAGAATGTCAATGGACGTTGTTGAAAGTTTTCGCACCGACCTACGAGGGATGTGCCTTGTGAGCCTTAAACTGAAGCCGAGGAAACCTGCTGTTGCTGGCTCTTGCCCTGTGGCTCGGCGGCACATCGGGGCCTGCTTTCGATCAGCTTTCCTATGCTTGGACTGTGAGCTTCTCTCGCTTCGACGTTTTGCAACATGTCATGTAGCCAGGATTCTAGAGTTTCAAGAGCTTCGAGACAAGAGGCATGCGGCGAGGCCCACGATGTCCCACGTCTCCGCCGGGAACCTGCCCCTCTGACACCTCCCAGCCCCCTGACAGGGTCTTGACCCAACGCCTGCGGCCTATCATCTCTATCTTGATCTGGACGAACAACTCAGGTCCCCACACTGCCCTACACCCTCCAACTCACCGAGGTGGCTGTCCTCGGTTTGCCGCCACAGCGCCGCAGGGCAGCCCATCACCAACTGCGGAGGCAATCACTTGCACTGAGTTGGGGTCCTGCTGGGGTTCAACGTTATGGTGGTGAATCGAAATATAGGAATTTGTGTGAGGCTTCAACGGTATGTCTGGTTTTGGCAGGACCCGAATGCATCGGTTCCGTAGAGAGAACTGAACCCTTCAGCCCAGACCCTTGCTAGGTAGTAGCCCATCATCCCAGTGTAACTGTCAAAACCACTGCTCGGCCCAGCATCAGCTTAGTCGGTTGTATCCTGCTGCGTTATTCTCCGTTGTTGCTGCCGTTACTGTTACTAAGTACTGTTACTATGGGCGTCTGATTCATGTGTGGTAGAACTCCCTTCTCGAACCCCAATTCTGCAATTCTGCTTATTCCGACATCCGTAGTATTTTTACCGCAAGACTTCCTTCTCTAAGCGGTCTTTGCTCCAAGAACCTGCTCTCAGACCCGCAAGGCCGGAGGGTGGTGGAGCTGCTGAGTCCCCCAGCTGGGTTGCTGCTGTTGGGGATTTTTAGGGAGGTTTTAGGGTGTAGGATGAGAGGGGGGGGGGAAGTTTAGGACACTTTAGGTTGAAGGGTTGGATCGAGTTGATTGCATGTAGTGTGTTGTAGCATCGTGGCATGCATGATGCTGCTTGCTATCCGGTTCCAAAACCCTTCGAGTTGAGGCTTTACTGGTTCGGGGTCGGGTGAGCCAAAGCCCCATACAGATGGCTGACAATGCGAAGCTGCTTTACCACAACGTGAGTGTGGCAAGTTGAGGAGCAAAAGACTTCCAGCCTTCGAGCTTCCTTCTTGAAGGTGTCACCAACTCAGAACCCCTGAATCCTGAAAACCCAGTCCCTCATACAAAACCCCTTGCAGGAAGCCATGCAGAACCAGCTCCCCTCGAAACCTTGGCTCACGAGGTGCTTCTGCGGATGCCGACGCGGCCCGCCGCCCCCTGGCCGAGACTTTGCGGTGGCGTGCGGAGGGCGGGGCGGAGGTTCAGGCACGCTGGCTCCAGGGTGACTCCGCTCTTCTCCTAATTAGCCGTTTTCAGGCTTTGTCCATGGATGTCCACTGGCTCCTTCAAAGGGTTTATGTGGTGTTATAAGTTTTAACAGAGTGTTTTGCTGTGTGTGGATTTCGGGTTCAGGATGCGTGTTTGAACCTGGCTTGACTTGTTGACGACGTTTATTCTCCCAGGCTTAATGTGTCTTGAGGATCCGGCTGGATGGTTTCAGGGTCGACTTGTTGGGATTGGCTTAATTGGAGTTTCGGAAGCGGTGTGATGCTCCTGCGGTTGAAGTCCATTTCCTTGTGCAGGGTTCCGCGGCCCTTGTGTGGCTCGTATGTCTTCGGTATCTCAGTTCGCGGGGTCCAGGGCTACTATTTAGCAGGCACATTTCCATCCAGTCCTTCCAGCACATTTTCGCCCGCCAAAGCTTTACGGAGCAGTTCCCTGTCTCAACAAACTCGTCCTTTTTCTCCTTGGTGGTGGGTTGGGCCTAAGTCGCTTGGACATGTCACGTCCCTTAGACTTCCAGGCCCGACAGCCCCAAGAAAGTTTTTGGGGCCATCTGCGGCTTCGGGCATCCGTGGTAGGATTTGTGAGGTGGAGCGGGTGGAGTTCAGGGATGTCAGGACTTCGCACTAGCTTGTGTTGGATGTTGGTTGGGAAATCTAGCAGGATGGGGCTTAGAGCATGGGCAGAAGATGGAAGACAATGATGGTTTGCAGCTACTTTCCAGGTGCAGAATGTGCGTCCTTGTGCCGGATCGGAGAGGATTCTTGCGGGTTCAGAGTTTTGTGTTCGACTGTTGCGTCGCTCGGTTTCCGCCCCCTGGCACCTTCCGAAACGCGGCATGCAGGTGAGCGATGACAGCGACGAGGCCAACACTTGCCAATGCCTATAATTCGTCTGCCCAGTCGTGGCAACTCAGCGTGTGCAAACACATTCTGATAGACCATTGCAAGAACACGGTTTCCATTGCACGGGACAGGGTCGTAGGGTTTCCGGCCCGTCTACCCAGCCATTGAAACCCTCTAACTGGGGGGGTGTTGGTCGTGGTGCTGGTCGTTGTCGTCGTCGTCGTGGTCGGCGTCGTTGTCGTTGTCGCCGACCCGGGTCACAAGACCATGTCTGTGATAAGGACAGCGATACAGCATGGTGACAGGGAAGTTCCTAGTGATGATGCTGCTGATGACGATGGTCATTGCTCTCAATAGGATAAGTTAAAAGAATGCGGCGAGCGCTGTGGTTGCCGCAAGAACTGAAGGTTCATTTGCAATGCATCTTAGCTTGTTTTCTTCGTAAATACACGGTCACCCATGACGAGGCATGGCTTGCCCGAGCGGCCTTCAACCGCCTCGCCGATGCACCGCAGTGGGCGCTGGTAGAGGCAGCGGCAGTTTCGGAGCATAAGGCGGCAGGCAGGGTGCTTAGATTTTGTGACCGGTTTGCGATTCTTTTCGAAGACTTTAGAGAGTGGCTTTCGAATCGGTTTGGGAACAGGGCGGGAACTTCAAGCATCCGCAGCCTTTGGAACTGGAATCTCGCCTTTGGTCTTCGAGCCGTGACGCCGTCGGGGATCAAGCAAGGTGTGCGGCGGCTACAACCCCTTTCGCTCGTCTTCCTCGGATTGTTGTATGCTTGGAAGAAGCCTCCTCCTCTGCTGCCAGGATAAATGCAGCCTTGATCGCCTACTCAAGGCGCGTGGACGTTTTGTGTTTTTTGGTGGGGCTGCTTGTCGGGTTCAGGGCTGTGGAGAAGGCTTGTAGAGTCCAGGGTGATCGAGAGCTCGCGAGCCGTGTCGTTGAGGTAGGATGCCTAGGTCCTTGCTGGTAATGCCCTGTTTGGCTGAGAGTGCGCTTTCTGGAATTTCAAGCCACTGGGTGGCAATGTGGCCTTGGGACATGCATCTTGAGAAGCAGCGATTGCAACCTCTTGTTTGTCAGACCTGCACTTACACTCTCCATGCTTGCAGGACAACCTGGACAGCCGTGTGTTGAGCTTGACGCGCATCTGCATTTGCTGTTGATGCACAGGGTGGCGGAGTTGATGCTGCTGCCAACAACGTGTGAACTTAATCACTCTTTGTCGTAGGCTTGCTGTATCCGATGGAAACATGATGCATTTCCGCATCATGTCCTATACCCTGGGACCCTACTTGTTGTTGTTTTGCTTTTTTGGTGCAGAAGCAGCTCTGCTCTGGAAGCAGCACACAGCTCGCACGCATCAGTGGACAGCACAGATCACAGAGCCTTAGGAAGCTTCATGGAAACCCCTCAGCGCAAAGCACCCCGGAAATGGCGAAAGTGTCCAAAGCCTATAGCAAGCAAGGCATCATGAAGGTCTTTAGTTCGGGAGCCCTAAGCCCAAAACCCTAAACTCTGAACTCGAACCACATGCCTCGCCCGGAGAGCCGAAACTCGGAAACCCAAAGTGCGAGACACACCCCTAACTCCTAACCCGTTTGTTGACGCAGTATCCGAGGATTTGGCCCAGGACCCTCCTCCTCCCTGGGGACTCCCTGGCTGTCTCAAGTGGAGCGCTGGATCCCGAGACTTCCTGCAGAGTTGGGTTTGGGGTTTATAGGGTTTTGCTAACCGGGTGATCTTTAGGGTTTAGGAGATTTAGGAGTGTTCTGAACGGCTTTGCAGGTGCTGTTGCGAGGGTTTCGGCTTGCGAAAACTGTTGGGATGCAGCCCTGTAGGTGGTAGCCAATTGTCGATTGCCTGGTCCTACCGAATCTTACCCAGAGTTCATAAAGCCTCGGTCGCGAGGCCACTAGGCAATGGGAATCGGCTTGCTCTCGGTGGAAGGATGTGTGGGGATAACACCAGAGCTCATGTATCCAGCATCCCTAAACCCTATGCCCTAAAACCCCTAAACATCCAGTAATCCTCGCCCAGGCATCAAAAACCCGATTCTAAGCATTACGGGCCCCCTTCGTCGTTGTTTCCAGTGCTTGCTTTATCCTCGGGGTGGCCTCGATGGCTACAAAGACAAGCTGGGCTGCTTCTAAAGTGTTTCTAAGCATGTGACCTGGTTTCCTCCTGAAGGGGACAGGCTGATGGGCCCTGCAAAGCCCTGGATCACAAGTTTGAAGGCTGGTTGGAAAGGTCACAATTTGACCTTTTCCTCGTCGAGCCACACACCACCGAAACTCCCAGCATCCCAGGTTGAATAGGCCTAAGAGGCAAAACCCCAAGCCTCACAACCATGCATGTCGGCCCACCTCCCACTTGGCTCGAACAGCCTTGAAGCCATGGTCTTGAGACGGGCTTCCACCCGTTTAAAGCTATGCTCTTCTGTTCGTGACTTCAAGGAAGCAAGCTTCGACATCTCAGGCTTCTTTGACGAGCGAGCCTCAGAAATAAGAGAGCCCTAGAGCTTTAGAGCCCTAAACCCTGAAAAGCTCAAACTGACAAAGTGTACCTAAACCCGTAAACCCTAAGCCCTAATGCCCACTTCATCGTTGGTAGAGCTCCGCTTGGCAATGATGCGAGAGCGGAGCAGAACAGCGAGCGATGTTTACGTGCCTTGGAGATCGTAGGGGTGCCACCAAGAGTTTCTGGTTTAGGGTTTAGGTGTTTAGGGTGTATTGGGTATGATCTAATGGGGCGGTGCTCGTGGTGGTGGTGGTGGTGGTCGGTGATTGGTGGTTGTTCTCGTTCTGACATTGCTTCCCTGACGGCAATTCTGTGCTGGATTCTGCTTGACGAGATGAGATGTTCTGCTCTCGGTGCTCCAGACAAATCGGCGCGGTTCCGATGCTGCCTGGGGTCAAGACATCCTTGCAGAAGCCGAGAAGTGTAGCTGTCACAAAGGTCGCCAGACTCCAAACCCGGCCCAGCCCAGCCTGAACACTTGTTGGCCCGGCACGAGGCTCCGAGATGAGGGAGGGGGCCTGTCAGAGCGCCTCGTGCGCGTCGTGGACGACATCGAGCAAGGCCCGGTGGAGCCCGGCCCAATTTCCTATGAATTATTATGAATACGATCCACTACATAGACATAGACATAAATGTAAGACTGCCATTTCGTGCGACTGGAGCATGGGGCAGTTCGTGCCACACGATTGCAACGGCACATGCCTTGAGCCGTTTCGCCACACATGTCGAATTGTCAGCTGTTCCCCTGCGTGAGATGTGCGTGTTGCTTTCTTGTCTGCCTTTGCTCATCGGCCAGGTTTAAGATAAATAAGCCGTCTGTGTTGATCGAGCTAGGCAAGATGGCAAAAAGAGAAGTGGCTACAACCGAAGGTGAGCAGTTGCAGAAGCCACAGGCCGAAACAAGGCGATTTAGGGCAGGAGGCCGCGGCAAGATTGGGCTTAGGACCTGGCACCAGTGCGGACCTCCTACCTACCCTTGTAGGCATTGGATCCGGGCTTGCGGGGTTACAAGGAGCTTCGGAACTGCTTGGCCCTCTGGGGGTGCTCAACTCACAGTCGAACTGACAGGTTCGGGCGTTTGGGGGTTTGGTCTTTGGGGTTTTAGGGCTCTTCTACTGGCTTTTCCGGTGCCGGTTCGTGGCTTTCTGAAGGGTTTTCCGGGTTCAAGTGTGCAGGGCATGATGCAGTACCTGCTCTAAACGGGACCCTTAGCCCACCAGGACAGTTAAGTATCAAAGTGTCGAGAGTTTAAGAAGCAAAAACGGCTTGAATTTGTGCGTTTGCGTCTCACATTGGCAGAGAGACTGCGAGTCTAACCCTTGGCACTTGTTACAAGAAGGTGGCCCTCGTTTAGGATGCGCGGGTTGCTCTGATTTAAGGTCTTTAATCTTGAAGCCAAGACCTACTTCGCAGGTCGTGGAGATGTCTTCTTCGTCGTGGGGGGCAAAACCTACGGCGCCCTTCGAGGGGCGGGGGGCAGAGATGTGATGGGTTCTCAGTTGGCCTGTAGTAGCAGCTACTGCTAAGGCTACCAATAGAATTACCATTGCCACGACGACGACGACTACTCCCACCACCACTAGCACCAACAACGACGACGACGACGGCGACGATTACTACTACGACCAACTACGAATACCGCTGCTGCTGCTGCTGCTGCTGCTGCTGCTGCTGCTACTTCCATTACTTCCTATCACTACCACGGCTAGACTACCACGACTACCGCTACTAACGCTACGGCTGCTACCGGTGCCGGATGTGCCGGTGAGTAGCGGCAGCATTAATTGCAGGAGCAGCAGCAGCAGATGACGACGACGACGACGACTACTACTTACTACTGCTGCTACTACAACAACAACAACAACTGCTGCTACTGCT